GAATTATGGGAAGGTCGGAAGCACATTGGCCCAGGAAGCAAGTGTATGAAGGAAGAGGGTTTCCGATGGACAGGGAAGCAAAGGAAGTTTAGGAGCAAAGGAAGATAACACAGCTTCGACTCAAGCAGGGCATCCGGTCCTCATTGTAAGAGTCAGACTTGGTATTGTGGGGAGAAGGGGTCACATTACCACAGACAGGCACAATGGGGCGTGGGTCACATTACCACAGACAGAATCAACAGCTTTGCGCATTTCAACGTTTGCTAGAGTTCCACTTCCCAACTGCCCAATGGACACCAAATGGTTTGGTTAATTTTCTGTCTTTCTCCCCCCCCCCCCATGGGCTGGTGGAGAAAAGGTTTTTCAAAAGACTTGCTTGTTCTCTCATGAGAGAGTCTATGACAAAAGAGGAGTGCTAGCTTTGGTTCAGGAGACAGGAGCCTTGCACAGGATGATCTTTTAGAAGGAGAGGTCATAGCCGCATAGCCAGGTTGGCCTGTGCATTGGTGAGAGGTGGTTTCAGAACTGCTGGCTACACCGTTCCTGGGCTGGGTGTCCACTGAGGAGTCAGGGCTGACAGGCAGAGGCTCACTCGGCTCCATGTCCTGCTCTGTGATGGGTCACAGGCCATTGTATCCAGGGCATGGAACCCCTGCCTCGTGCCTTGTCCACTAGGCCGACAAAGGTAGTGACCATTTGAAAACAGCTACGTGAATGCCTTCCCAGGTTATTTTAAATAGCCCCACTGGTCAGCACTAAATGTAATCTTGATGATGGAATGCTGGGTTTCTTGTGGAATAGAGTCAATCCAGTCCCTTGGAATATCTGGGTGAGCTCCTATCAGAATAGAAGGAAAGGAAGGGGCAGCAGGCTCTGTGTGTGATGCTTGGACATCGGGGATTTATGCGCACAGTTGCTGGAGGGTGCAAATCGAACCAGCCTCCCTCCACTGCAGGCCATGTGCCACAGGGGGCCGCGGCCAGCCGAGCCCAGGGGTCCCACAACCCCATCGCTCATGTCTCTTCCTGTGTTGCACTGGGGTCCAATCCTACCTCTTTTCCTGCCCTGGGCCATAGGGACCAGTTTCCACACCACTGCTCTGGATCCGTGGAGTTCACTGGGGAATCTTTCCTAAGCACAGCTCTCCTCGTCTCCTTAGACCCCTTAAGACTCTCCATTGCATGACTGTTACCCTCAAACATCAGATTCATGCACCTCCCTTCCCACCCCTGCCCCCACCTCAGGGTTGCACCTCCCTCCCCGCCCCTGCCCCCACCGCAGGGTTGCACCTCCCTTCCCACCCCTGCCCCCACCGCAGGGATCCTAGCATCTGACCCGGGTTTGTGAGCCAGTACAGCATCTGCACAGGTTGCATGGTTGATTTGGTCTCTGTCCTTCTTACTTTCCAACTTCCCCAGGAAACATCGACCCCATCTCCAGCCTGGCTGTGTCCCAGCAGGTGCCTCACACTCATGCCCACGTGCATCTACATTCAGCTGCACAAGGGGGATGTGCACTCGGGTTTGCCTACACAGCAGCGTCAGGTGGACAGGGTCTCTGGTCTCAGTCCATGTGGGCTGCAGCCTCTGTAGCAGCCCCAGGCTGGAGGCAGCAGCATGCACAGCGCTCTCTCAGATCGGGAGGCTGGAAGTCCAGGGTCAGGTGCTGATGGACACATGCTGGTCTGCAGGTGGCTGTCCTTCAGTGTCCTTACATGGTGGGAGAAAGAGGAAGAAGCCTGGTCTCTGGTGTTTCTGCCCGGGCTCCAAAGCACCCCACCCTGGTGACCCAACCTCCTCCTGGGGCCCTGTGATATGTGCCGTGACCTGGGGTGGGGTTTGGAGACGTGGAGTTTGAGGGGAAGCATTCAGTCCACAGCAGAAACGATGTTTCTCAGGGCTGGGCGGGTCCTGAAAGGCAGGTCCTTTCCAGATAATCGCAAGATCCCAAGGCTGATGCGGCAGGCGAGGCCCGTGCTTTCGCTGGGTTGTACTCATCCACAGTCTACAGCCCACACTGTAACGCAGGGCTAGCAATGAAGACACTGCGCCCGCGCCCCACAGCACCCCGGCGTGATGAAGACACTGCGCCCGCACAGCACAGCTCCCCCGCGTGATGGAGATCACTGCGCCCACGCCGCACAGCACCCCTGCGTGATGGAGACACTATGCCCATGCTGCACAGCACCCTTGTGTGATGGAGACACTGCGCTCGCGCCCCACAGCACCCCAGCATGATGAAGACACTGCGCCCTCACAGCACAGCTCCCTCGCATGATGGAGATCACTGTGCCCACACCACACAGCACCCCTGCATGATGAAGACACTGCGCCCGCGCAGCACAGCACCCCTGTGTGATGGAGACACTGCGCCCATGCTGCACAGCACCCCTGAGTGACGAAGACCACTGTGCCCACGCTGCACAGCACCCCTGTGTGATGGAGACACTGCGCCCGTGCCCCACAGCACCCCTGTGTGATGGCCACACAGCACCCCTGCATGATGAAGATCACTGCGTCTGCACCGCACAGCACCCTCTGTGCAGGACCTGGCATTGACAGCCTCTCTGGTGTCTTTGCCAGAAATAGATAGAGGCCCTCCAAGCAATCGTTCTATTTCCACCCCAGCTCTGCTCTCTGCACCGGCCCGGCAGTGAAAGCACAGGCTCAGTGACCGCGAGACCTTGGTGGTGCTGTCTCCACTGCACTCTTCCCTATCATTCTCATGACAGATTTCCCGTTTGCATTCATTCTGTGAATCCCTTTTCAGACTGACGTGGTACCTTCCTGGTGTTAGGGTTCATCCAGCCTGGCACCGTCAGGTGTGACAAAGGAATCCTAAGGTGGGAAGTGCCAGCTCTTTTGGAAATGAGAGGGAGGAGGAAGAGGTCAGAGGTCAGGGCAGGATGGCTTGCTGCAGGGAGTCACACATGCATATGTGCGTACACACACACACAGACACACACACACACACACGCATGTACACACACCGTGGCTATGCACATAGGAAGTCAGCAGACGCCGGTATGGCAACACCTCTGGAATCTGCCAGACACACTCAGGGCAGACGCTAATTTTCCCGACTTCTAATTAAGCAGTCTCTCATTCATCAGAACTAAAGCACTCAGGATGCTCCCCAAACTAATTTTTAAAAACAGATTGAGTGCCGTCTCTGTCCCGCTGGCTCAGGTCCTGAGGATGCAGACACAGCCAAGGCGCCACAAGTCAGCTCTGACAGGAACCAGCAGACAAAGCCAGCCTGTGGCTCCACCTGCACCCCTCCAGTGTGGTGGACAGCCGGCCTGGGCACGTGCAGGCCGACCTGCCTAGTCCCCCTCGGAGGAACTCCGCTCCCAGCTCGTGCACCTGGCTGAGATGCAGGCCCAGATTTGCATACACACAGCAGAGTGAGCACACCTGCATTTTCATGTTCTTTCACAATACGGTCCTGAGTGTGGCTTCTGCCACTTAGAGCAGGACACGGGAGACCCAGAACTAGGCATCTGCACAGTGGGCCATTGGCAGGCCCGTTGGCCACCGTCTTCTCATTTGTCCCCGTGTGGAGGCCTCAAGTCTGCTGGCCTGCTCCCCTTGCTTCTCTGGGAAGGTTAGAAGTCCAAAGCATTCACCTTTTCATGTGCAATACACACACACACACACACACACACACACACACACACAGAGTCATGGGTGCGAGTGTCCACTCCACCAACCTCCACAGCCTCTTAGCTAGCCTCCTGGCTAAGACAGACCAAGGGCTGGCTTTCGAGCCAGTGGGCTCCACCTGGAGCAGAGCAGAACAGATAACTGGGAGGTGTGGAGTGTTGGTTAGGCAGTCCCGCATACCGTCCTCTGACTGGCTGCCCAGCATGCATCCCTGCACCTTACGTTCGGCTTCCCTGATCCAAGCCCGTGCAGGGGTCCTGAGACCTGAGCCCAGTGGTCACCGCCTCACTTCTAATGTGGCGCACTGCCCGCATTTGTCCTTGGGATCAGGCCTCCTGGTGTAGACGTATGTCCTTGTGGCTCAGCGAGAGTTAGCATGTGAGGCTGGAGATGCCATCTCTGCTGCGTTATGACATGGGACTGGGCAGAGCCAGTGGGGAGCTGGGCAGGTATGGGGACATCAGCAGGATCTGTGCTCTGGTCAGGCCTCCCTGCCTACCAGGCACAGTCCCAACAGAGCCACAGCCTGGTAAAAATAATAGTAATGGCTCCCAGCCTTGCAGGGGCAGGGTCACCCGTGGGGTTGCAAGTGGTCTCTTACGTCACTTCCCCAAGAGCTTATTGTACAGACAAGGAGACCAGTATGAGCCATCAGTGCCTTGGGCAGAAATCAGAATGCTTTTACTGAATGCAGTGCCGCCGGTGCATATGGTTAGGTCTGTGAACAACGCCAGGACCTTCCCTTTTCCACATGCTGCTAGTGTATTAGTCCCCCTCCCCCAGCCTGCTCGGACCTTCCAGATGACAATTCCGTGACCGAAACTGCCCCTTAGTGCAATCTGTCTCTGTGGCGATGTTGAAGAAGGTACCATGTGTGTCTCCGAGGGCTGTCACCCGCATCTGGCACGGTGTCCTGGGACACAGCGGCCCACACTGTGTCCTGTCACGTGGTTGGGGGCAGGGCGGTGGGTGTCAGGCTGGGCCGGGGCAGCCTGGCAACAAGGAACCTGACAGGATGCCCCTGGCTGCCCAGGTCCCCTCCATCCATGCCTTTCTGAGCCTCCTGTCCCCTTGGCTGTAATGCGCAGGTTGGGCTGTCACCTGCACCTATGACCTTCCTTGTATGCATCTGAAATGAGAATCCAAGTACAAATACGAACGCACAGGTGAGAGTCAGGATTAGGAAACAGGAAGAGTTTGCAGGTGGCCATGGCTATATGGGGTGACGGGGATGGAGCATGCGTGGGTTCCTGGACTCTGGAGCCAGCTCTCCTCCAACCGAGGCCCAGGCTCACCCAACCCCAGGCTCACCGCCCTCCCACTTTGCTTGGCCAGGAACCTACTGCCAGCAGAGGGAGGTGGAGGCCATTATGGAAGGCGACGAGGACAACAGAGGCTGCTGCTGCTGCAGGCCTGGCCACTTGCCCCACCTGCTGTCCTGCAACGCAGCCTTCCGCCTGCGCTGGCTCACCTGGGAGGTCACCCGCACTCAGTACGTCCTGGAGGGCTACAGCATCATGGACAACAATGCCGCCACCATGCTGCAGGTGTTCGATCTTCGCCGGACCCTCATCCGCTACTACATCAAGGTGAGGGAGGTGGGGAGGGGAGTCCCACAGAGGGTACAGGTGGCTCCTCCTCCCCCTCCTCCTCCTCCTCCTCCTCCTCTTCCACCGCCTCTCTGTCCCCACCCCCAGGGGAGCTTGTAAAGAAGGGGATGGTGCATACTGCTGTCCAGGCTGTCCAAGGCAAACACACAAGACGCTGAAATAATGAAGCCAAAAGAGTGGCAGTGCGGCTCAGGCGGTGGGGTACCTGTTCTGCAGCTCTAGGCGCTAAGCACAAATCCCATGCTGAAAAAGAACCGGAGCCACACAGCACAGCCAGGACAGTCCCGCGACGCTTCCTCCTCACTCCTTGCATGCACGGAGACGGCCCCATCCTCTGCATTACTCAGAAAGGCGCAGTATGGATGAGACTCCTGGAGAACAAGGATGTGGGCCCAGCAAGGGCGGGAGTGAGCGTGGGTGCCGCGCGTGCCCGGAGGCTGTGCGGGTGGGCTGAGTTGTGAAGGGGAGGGCAGCCTGGTGGAAGAATTCTTCACAGTTCCCCACTCTGGGTTAGCACATGGCCCAGTGGGGTCGGTGAGATGTGGAAACCAGGCCAGCAGCAGGGACCTGAACTCTCAGCAGCTGCAACACAGGGCCTCTGGTGCAAGTGCGGCCCCATGGAGCGTGGCAGTATCTGCTGCAGCTGCGGAAGTTCACCAGGAATCCCAGGCAGGGCCTCGCCACGTGCCACGTGGGGGGGGGGTGTCTGGGAGTTGTGCCCAGCACTGCATTGCACATGCCTAGAAGAGGGAGAATCAAGTGACAGATGGCAGCGGGCATTCTCGTTGCCAGCTCCCAGGAGACGAGCCATCCCTGGACGCTTCCTCAGTTCAGGAGGCAGCGTGACGGGGACAGCTGCAGGAATGGCTGGATTCAGGAGCTGACTCGGAACGCGCGTGGCGAGGAGGGAGCCACTAGGCCAACAGCCTAGGCCTAAGGAGGCCGGATGGACAAGCCTCAGAGCTGCCCCGAGCATGGCGCGCTCTCTCGTGCCTCCCAGACCCTCCGTGGCTGCTTCCCGCCATCTCCCACTTGCTAAGCCGCTCTGGACTTTGTGTGGACCCTGTGTGCCTCCCGGTACTGCCGGTATGGCCTGTGCTCTGGGCCTGCCCTCCCTGCCTCACACCTGCCCCCAAGGTCTTGGGGGTGACCTGCTCATCAGCACTGGGGACCAAAAGACCTTTTTTTTTTAAGCTCCCATTTCGGCGGCTCGGGATGACTTCAGGTTTGAAGCATTCCATCTCATTCTTACGATGTTCTTATTGAATAGGCAAATTGAAAGGAACACAAACCTTGAAGTAATTCCTTGGCATAACAGGATCTTTTTAATAAACTGGGTCAATTACTCACCCTGGATGAATACTTCTGGAATAATCTCCCCCCTGAGGACTTGAGGTTTTTCCCGGCCGTCTTCTCCATTGTGCCTCCATGTATTGGTGCCTGTGACTCTCAGAGCACCAAGAAGCTGGGCTTCTGTGAGAGCTGATGAGCACCCCTGCTGTTTGTGGTAGCTTATCACTCACCTTGCAAAGCCCAGCAAGTCCTTGGGGGCGTCAGCCACTGACTCCTCCTTCCACTGCTTTGTTTTCTCACTTGGAAAGACTGTCATGCCAGCAGAGCAGCCATTGTGGCTGCTGGTTCTACACAGAGTGGAGCACGCGCTCCTACCTCCTCCCAGTGGCTGTGTGTCACCTCCTGACTTCGAGATGATCTGTGGGGCTGTCCAAGCTCCCAGTCCAGCCTCACTGCACTGAACACTGCTTCCATTTTCCTGTCCTAATGATAGCGAGCATTGGACATGACTTCTCAGCAGCATGCTTAATCTGTGCTCCTGTCAGGCTTGCCTTGCAGAAAACTTCTAGCCCTCCCAAAGAACGGATTCATTCAAAAACTACCCAGGGGCTTTCAGCATAAGCCAGAGGGTCACGTTAGTCTCAGACTCAGAAGTGCTGTGTCTGAGAAGGGCGAATCGTGGGTTATTTTGAATGCATCTCAGATGTCCACTGTGGGGACATCGGGAATGTGTGTTTGCAATTTTATATCATCAACTTTTTGGGTTTTGTTTTTTCTGCTGATCCCAGGGCTTGAACTCAGGTCCTGGGTGCTGTCCCTGAGCCTCTTTGTGCTCAAGGCTAGCACTCTACCACTGAAGCCCAAGCATACTTCTAACTTTTTCTGAATAGTTTATTAGAGTCTCAAAGACTTTCTTGCCCAGACTGGCTTGGAAACACAATCTTCAGATCTCAGGCTCCTGAGTAGCTAGGATTCCCAGGCATGAGCCACCAGTACCCAGTCATCATCGCTTTTCTTTTTCTTTTTTTCTTTTTTTGGGTCAGGTTGTGGGGCCTGAACTCTGGGCCTGAGCGCTATCCCTCAGCTCTTCAGCTCAAGGCTAGTGCTCTACCACTTGAGCCACAGCGCCACTTCCGGCTTTTTTCTTTTTGCTTATGTGGTGCTGAGGAATCGAACCCAGGGCCTCAGGCATGCAAGGCAAGCGCTCTACCACTGAGCCACCTTCCCAGCCTCAACACTTTTCTTAAGAGCAACATTGCTTTGATTGGCTAAGCACCCTGGCTAGCAGAGATCAGCCCAGTCTCTTTCTCCAGTGTGGCCCATGGACCCGGGGGCCCTGAGAGACCACATGACTGCCCGTCACATTCTCATTGCTGAAATCTGTTATGCTGTTCTATAGGTACATACAGTCTCCCAACTTTTCTTCTCCTACAATGTCCCTTAAGAAAGGACACTTCAGAATGTCTGCAATGGGTTGGTTCTGGGCCTTGAGCCCAGCCGAAGCTCATGGGACACCCTGCCCTGCCCTGCCCCGCCCTGCCCACCCTGCCCCTGCCTCAGACTCACCCGATTCTGCATTCCAGATAACCTCCCAGCGTGTCACTCCCTCCTTGCAGAGCATCATCTACTACATGGTGGCCTCCCCAAAGCTGCTCTCCTGGGTGAAGAACGAGGCCCTCCTCAAGTCCCTACAGTCCTTTGCCAAGTGGCATCACATCGAGCGCGACCTCGCCATGTTCCACATGAATATCGATGACGACTTCGTGCCGTGCCTGCAGGGCATCACGCGGGCCAGCTTCTGCACTGCCTACCTGGAGTGGATCCAGTTCTGTGCAGGGAAGAGACAGGAGGTATGTGGGGCTGGGGCTCGGGCCGCTCCTGGAAGGGACTGGCCACCGTCTGCCTCTGCTTCTGCTCCATGGCACACCACAACCATAGGTGGGAAAAACACCAGTGTCGGGATACGTATTTATTAACGCTTAGGCAAAATTAAATAGGAGGGTTAATACGGTCTGCCCGGGACAGGGTCTGGGAAGGGAAGGCTGTGTGCGCCTTCAGCTCACATGCAGGGTCCACATGGTTTTGAGTCTCCAGGGGCAATGGAGACATCTTCGTTTAAATGTGTGTTTCGAGCTGGTCCCGCCATGTATTTCTGAGCTGGGGCAGGACGCTCTTGCACCCCTCCACTCCCGGTCCTGCTGCTATGTTGAATGATCAGATGGGTGGGCTCCCTGTGGAACTTGTTTTGTGTGGGGCTGTGACGATCACACCTGGGGAGGAACTTACCTCACAGGAATGAGGCGAGGAGGAGAGAGGTTGTATAGGAGGTAGGGAAGGAGGTTCTCATTGCTTCTTGGTGTTTGAAAAGTGGAGGTCAAGGTGCTGGTGGAAAAACTGGGCTCAGAGCTGAGGAAGGAGGGGCAATGTGCTCTCAGAAAGACCCTTGACCACAGCACCCACCCAGTGCTTCTTACTAAGTCACTGGGCAAGAAAAATTAGAAACGTGCAGAACATGCGCATGGCAGAGGCTGCTTGGAGGGGGTGTGGGAGGCTCTCCTGCAGGCCTGGCCCCACTCCAAGGTGGGTGGTAGGGTTGGCCTGCAGAAATGGACCATCTCCTATCCCTTGTGAGACACCTGCAGTTGTCCAGCTGAGCTATAGGTAACTCTCTGAAGGTGGTTTGTGGCTACTTCCCAGGGCCTGACCACAGGTCACAGTGAAGAGCCTCCCCTTGGAAATCCCAGAGAATCAGCTCACCACCCCTCAGCCTGGATGATTTCCTACCGTTCTCAGAGAGCCTGCCATGGCGGCTCCCAGCTGCTTCTGAGCGGTCAGGATGGCCCTCCGCCCCAGGCCGACACCATGCCGGCACACCCTGGGTGTGGAGAAGACTGACCTCGTGTCCTTCCTTTCAGCCTTCCAAGGCCCTGGGCAGCGTGGACAGCGACGAGGACTCCCCCCTGGTCACCTTGTCCTTCGCGTTGTGTATCCTGGGTAGACGAGCCCTGGGGACTGCCGCCCACAACATGGCCCTCAGGTGCCCGGGGGTGGGCTGCTCTGACGGGCAGACGCCCGCTGTTCCCATTTGACCAAGTCTGTCTGTCCTTGTCTGGATTTTCAAGCGGGGCTGATAGAATACAAGCCGGGCTGATACATTTCTTTCAGATACTCTGCACAGTACATTGGGTTGGGCCTGAATGAAGACATTTTCCAGCCCTGTGGTTCTCGTACATTCTGCACAGAAATACTATTAACACGGACAGGGATCCTGGGCCTCTGGCCTTGCAGACTTGCCCCGGTTAACTGGCTCCCCACATTGGCAGTATCCCGCCTGGTCCTCACAAAGTTGGCCCTGGGGAAATGCCAGCTCCTGTCCCTCCTGTCCTCCAGGGGGCGACCTCTTCCCTGTGCATCTGCTCCCGGCCCTGTTTTGCCCATCACTGTGGGGCGTTGACAAGTGGAAGCCCCTCTCTGGTTTTCTCTGACTCTTCCTGTGAGATCATGCGCTCTGCATGGAGAGAACTCTAGCTTCTTTAAGAACAAAAACAAAGTTCCCCTCTCTCTGGGCACCTTGTCAGCCTCTACCGCTCAGGTGGGGTCCCTCCGGCCGCCGTCCAGCCTCTGCAGCAGCCTCTGACCTCCAGCCACAGTGCTCTGAATAATCTGCCTCCTAGTGCCCCAAGCAGGGGCCGCTGCACCACTGCTTTGGTACTGGCCCCTGGAGACAGGAGGTTCTGAAGTCTGCCTGCCCATGCAACCCATCACCTTGATGGGCAGCTCCTCCCTGGACATAGGTCCTCCTCCCGGCCCTCCCTCAAGGAGCCAGGCCTGCTGGGAGCTCTGTGGGCACAGCCCCTCCATCTGTCAGCATGCTGGTAGCTACAGTAACAGATTTCCTCACCCTTGTACTCTGCCCGAGGCTGTTCTGAGTCCTGACATCCTCTTCACACAAGGATGGACTCTATTTTTAATTTATTGCAATTATATCTACGTCCAGACTAAGAGTGGCTCGCAATCTGTGTGCACAGATATGTGTGTGTGTGTGCGTGCGTGCGTGCATGCGTGCGTGAACGTCATCCCTGTGTTGTTTCCCAGTGAGGAGCAGGCACTTGGCATCGTTCTCACATTTCCTATCTCAGGGTCCCAGGTGACCTCCTCAGAAGTTACATCTCTGGCCCCTGTTGTCAGTCCTGTCTCAGCAGGTCGATCTGTCAGGGACCCCATGCCTGACTGCAGGGCCAGCCTCCCGGAGCTCTGCTGGGTGCAGGGTCATCTTCCTTCCCGTGTAGGGACAGCCCCAAACTTGGGATGGCGGGGTTGGCAGGTTGCGTTAGGGGTGCACCGCAGTCATGCATCTGTTTTGCAGCCTGGACTCCTTCCTGTATGGTCTGCACACCCTCTTCAAAGGTGACTTCAGGGTGGCGGCGCCAGATGAGTGGGTGTTTGCCGACATGGACCTGCTGCACAAAGTGGTGGCTCCCGCCATCAGGATGTCCCTGAAACTACACCAGGTAACAGCCTATGGCCACTCAACTGCCCACTTACTTATTCCCACCTGGAGCTTGAACTCAGGACCTCAGGCACGCTAGCCCAGTGCTCCACCACTCAAACCCCTTTTGCTTTAATTTTGTTTCTGAGTAAGAGTCTCACTACCATCACCAGGGCTGGGTGAACTTCCTGCCCCTTAGTAGCTGGATTATAGGCATGCACTACCACGCCCAACCGGTAAAACCCACTTCTAAAAAAAAAAGTAGAAAGCTGAAGCTCTAGGGGAAAACAGCTTTTGAAAATGGTGTGCCCTCCCCTGGCTTGACCTTGGTAATGGAGTCACCACTCAGCTAACAAAGCCTGGCATCGGCCAATGGCTAGTGACCTTCAGGAGCTGCTAGGGGAGGGTTGCCATCCACCGGAAAGGAAGAGGGGAGTCTCTCAAGATAGTGGCATGGAATATCCCAAACACAGAGGTCTCAGCTCCCAAGATGCTTCCTGGCCAGGCACCATTGGCACCATTGGCAAGGACCTGGGATCAGCCAAGGAGTTACACTTGGCACCCAGCTCTGGATGTAGAGCAAGGGGTGAGGGGAGAAAGAGTATGGCCTTCAAGGTCACTGTCTGTCCTGAGCACTCCCCGGTCAAGCCTCCCTGGGCTTGTGTGAGGTCCTCCCACCAGGTTGGCTCCTCCTACCATATTAGCTCCCCCACCACATCAGCTCCTCCCTCAACATCAGCTCCTCCCACCACATTGGCTCCTCCCACCACATCAGCGTCTCCCACTACGTCGGCTCTTCCCACCAGGACCAGTTCACCTGCCCGGATGAGTATGAGGACCCAGCAGTCCTGTTCGAGGCCATCCAGGCCTTTGAGAAGAAGGTGGTGATTTGCCACGAGGGTGACCCTGCGTGGCGGGGCGCAGTGCTGTCCAACAAGGAGGAGCTGCTCACGCTGCGGCACGTGGTGGACGAGGGCGTGGATGAATACAAGGTCATCATGCTGCACCGGGGCCTCCTGAGCTTCAAGGTGATCAAGGTGAGACCCGTCCTCCCGCATGGCTGCAAGAGTACGCCGACTCCAGGCTCGGGACCTCTGCTCAGGGCCTTGTGCACAGAGCACGGCTGGCCACGGGGAGCTGCAGCCGTGGCAAGGCCCTGTCCTGCCCCCCAGAAGCCATGAGCCACAAGTCCCGGCAGGTGCCTGGCAGATGGGGGACCGAAACCTGGCTCGTTTCCAGACCTGGTGATTTTCACCTTGAGTCCACACCCACTATCAGCCATCACTTTCTGGATCCACACACTCATTCTCTCTGGTCTCCTCAGAGCTTTGATCCAAACCCCCGCCCCCCAACAACTAAAACTGAATTTCATTTTTATTTCCCCTCAGTTTTCCTGATGGCTTCACACCCATGGCCCACGCCCAGGGCCCTGCTCGCTCACTGTGGCTAAAGCCACAGCTGAAACCATGTTGCCTCCTCTCGCTGCAGGTGAACAGGGAGTGTGTCCGAGGGCTCTGGGCCGGCCAGCAGCAGGAGCTCATCTTCCTCCGTAACCGCAACCCAGAGCGCGGAAGCATCCAGAACAACAAGCAGGTCCTGCGCAACCTCATCAACTCCTCCTGCGACCAGCCCCTGGGCTATCCCATGTATGTGTCCCCGCTGACCACGTCCTACCTGGGGACCCACAGGCAGCTGCAGAGCATCTGGGGTGGGCCCATCTCACTGGGCAGCGTCACCACCTGGTTCCGGGCCAGGTGGCTGAGGTAGGACTTCACGACGGGGGCCTGTGCCTGAACGCTGGGGGCGGAGGGTTGGTGGGAAGAGTTCCTGTGCCCTGCTAGAATGTCTGCACTGATCACAGTGGGTTCACGTGCGTAAGACAGCTGCACCCAAGGGCCTTCTAACAGTCCCATGTCCAGCATGCTGTCCCGAGGGTCAGGGGGAAACACCATCTGTTTCCTCCCTCCAGCCCCTAGCTGCAGTCCTCCTGTGTCTCGGTTCACTGTGTCTGGGAGCTTTGGGGGTGATTGCCACCTCTGCTGGGGACAGCCAGCCCAGAGCCCCTGCCATGGGCCACTCAGGTTCCTCATCGTCATGAGCTCTGTCTGATGGCGGCGCTGCTCCCTGGGAGGTGGTCAACGAAGCCATGGGTTCTTGTGGAAGGCTGACTGAGGTGCTGGAGTGAAGAAACAAAGCCTCTGCCCACCCATACGCAGAGGAGCTTGTCACCCAGCGAGCGAGGTTCCGTCCACTGCAGACATGGCTGTGGTGGGATTCCACAAATCAGACATGGCTGCTGTGGGATTCCAAGGCCCAGACAACGCCGTGGTTGGATTCAGAGATCAGACACCACTGCGGTGGGATTCCAGGGTTCAGACCTGGCCGTGTGGGGTTCCAGGGCCCAGACACAGCTGTGGTGGGATTCCAGGGTTCAGACCTGGCCGTGTGGGGTTCCAGGGCCCAGACACAGCTGTGGTGGGATTCCAGGGTTCAGACTTGGCTGTGTGGGGTTCCAGGGCCCAGACACAGCTGTGGTGGGATTCAAGGGGTTCAGACACCGCCACGGTGTGGTTCCAGGGTTCAGACCTGGCCGTGGTGGCTGTCCAGTGTGGTGTCATGCATCGGTTGCTGTCAGGATGCATTTCACAGAAGGTTGTGGGTGACTCGGCCCCTGCCTAGGGCCACTGGGCTGGCCCTGGGTGCCCTCAGCCACACCACTGTGAGCTGGTGACCATTCCAGGGGCAACAAGGACACCCCAAGGCCTCTTCCCCCACAGAATGCGGAAGGACTGCAGCGCTGGCCAGCGCAGCGGCGGCATTGAGGAAGGGGATGCAGGCGGGGCAGCGCCCGGCAGCCAGGCCCCGTGTGCTAACAGCCGGGAGAGCGGTGTGGACCAAGCCAGAAAAGGGGGCGCCCAGCACTGGCCCTCACCGCGAGCAGGGCCTCCAAGGACAGGTGGGTGTGGCAGGACCTGCGGTCCAGCATCGTGGGAGGGTGGCTCTGCTGCGGGTGTCCAGTGTGTGTACCCGTGGACACGAGGCCCCCCTCCCTCTCCGGACAAGCGGCTCCCTCTCCCTCCCTCCTTCCCACCCTCTCTGCTGCTGCCAACATCCAGAGAGTGAGGAAGGACGGGAAGAAGGGCACCAGGGGTGGAAGCCAGGAAGGCAGACTCGAAAGCTTAAAGCCTGTTTCACCAAGCCAGCTCTGCCAGCTGGCTGTGGCTCTGGCGTCACTGTGGCCTGGGAGGAGGCGCTGGCTGACAGCGGAGCCCAGGGCCTGCTGGGAGCCGCCCATGGGGACACAGCTGGGGCAGAAGCACTGGCCTGGCTCCCGCTGCTCCCAGCCCCACCTCTGCCCTCAGTGCTCCCTTCTGCCCCTTCCAGAAGGATTTAATAAATACACTGGGCACGCTCGCCCTGCCCACTCCGCACCAGCTCCCGAGAGGCCCAGAGCAGGCCGGGGCACTGCGGTGGTGGAGTTATGTAATGTGGAAAAGATGGGAGGGAGAGAGGGACAGAGAGAGAGGGAAGGGGGAGAGAAACAGCGAGAGAGAGAGAAGGAGAGGGAGAGAGTCAGAGATGATAGACGGATAATAGCCGTGTGTGAGAGACGAATAGTGGGACAGATGATAGGTAATGGGATGATAATAGATTAGAAAGAGACAGAGGGGCAGGTAGATGATGATTGACAGGTAACAGATGGAACTGAAGGCAGGTTGACAGGCAAAGGGGCTGATGTGGGCTGCTCAGGAGCAAGCATGGAGCTCTGCTCCTGTGCGCCTGCCTCCGCCCCAGCCCAGCTCCCCCCCCCGCACCCCTGCCTCCATCGAGCCCAGCTCCCCCTGCACCCCTGCCTCCATCCAGCCCAGCTCCCCCGCCTCTGCCCTGAGCCCAGCTCCCCCTGCACCCCTGCCTCTGCCCTAAGCTCAACTCCCCCTGCACCCCTGTCTCCATCCAGCCTAGCTCCCCCTGCACCCCTGCCTCCACCCCAGCCCAGCTCCCCCTGCAACCCTGCCTCTGCCCTGAGCTCAGCTCCCCCTGCACACTTGCCTCTACCCAACCCAGCTTCCCCCTCATACCCCTGCCTCCACCCCAGCCCAGCTCCCCCCGCACCCCTGCCTCCACCCCAGCCCAGTTCCCCCCTGCACCCCTGCCTCCACCCCAGCCCAGCTCCCCCCTACACCCCTGCCTCTACCCTGAGCCCAGCTCCCCCTGCACCCCTGCCTCCATCCAGCCCAGCTCCCCCTTGCACCCCTGCCTCCACCCTGAGCCCAGCTCCCCCTGCACCCCTGCCTCTGCCCTGAGCCCAGCTCCCCCCACACCCCTGCCTCCACCCTGAACTCAGCTCCCCTCATACCCCTGCCTCTGCCCTGAGCCCAGCTCCCCCCGCACCCCTCCTCCACCCCAGCCCAGCTCCCCCCTGTACCCCTGCCTCCACCCCAGCCCAGCTCCCCCTGTACCCTTGCCTCTGCCAAGCCCAGCCTCCCAACCTTCAGGATCCCAGAGATTTTTATTGTTTTCTTAACTTTCGTTATCTAGTGAAAACCATGTCTCCAGATCACAAGGGTGGGAAGTGCACAGAGGCCCCAGGGCGAGGTGCCCAATCCCTCCTGTGTGTGTGTGTGTGTGTGTGTGTGTGTGTGTGTGTGTACAGAGCCAGGCTGCATCCATCCGCAGGGGTGGGAGGGGCCTGGTGAGCCTCTTCCTTGTGAGCAAAGTGGAGCCGCCCCTGTGGAGGGCCCTGTGTGCGGTGTGGTGGTCCTGTGATATGGCGGGTCTCGTGGTATGGTGGGCCCTGCATGCAGTGTGGCAGGTCCTATGGTGAGGCAGCCCCATGACGTGGCGGTCCCGTGGTATGGCAGCCCTATGGTGTGGTGGCCCTGTGGTGTGGAGGTCCTGTGGTGTGGAGGTCCTGTGGTGTGGTGGCCCTGTGGTGTGGGGGTCCTGTGGTGTGGGGGTCCTGTGGTGTGG